TTTTCCACCTGGTAACGATCTTTGCCTTTCTCGCTGTTACACGATATGGACCGAAGAACTTTGGCCTTAAACTTTAGACCACCTCCATATTGCGTTCTTTGTATGGCAACTAAGTCGTTCACATTGTATACTTGTGCCTCTTCATCTTTTTGTTGTATGTTTTTCTATTCTCTTCCCTGACTTTTTAGAATGTTTTTTCTTGTTCTTCTCTCATATCTTCTCGATCTTTCAATAGTATTTCTTCTTCTTCTTCAAGAATTTCCATAATCTTAAGTCCTCTCGATTTCTCATTTTAACACCAGTGAGAAGCTCAAATGGAGAACTCTTTGTGCTTCTGCTCTTAGTGCGTTTAAGATCCTTTGTATATCGCCAACATATTTGTACCACTTGGTTGGATCATGTATGGATAATTTAGATAGGACTGGAATCAGAGTGAGATGAATTCTTTCCACTTGTCCATTCCTCTAGGAACGCCTGTAGTTGTAAATATGTGCTGGATCTTCTTTGATTACAGTAATCTTCAAAAGTCTTTAGAGGTAAACGCCGTACCTTTGTCACTTATAATTCTCAAAGGATTACCGAAAGTTAATTGTTGCAGTTTCAGCTTCTGCAATGCCTCTTGAGCTGATGTAGACTTACTGGATAGAGCCATACGAACTTTGTGAATGCATCAACCACGGTTAGATGTGATTGTAGTTCTTATTTGTCGACGGTAATGGTCCTATAAAATCGATATGAAAGTGCTCAAGGGATACTATCTTTTGGTATGGGATTCAACAACCCTTCGCTTCTTACCTCGTTTCTGTCGCACAAAATACATTCTACACAATTTGAAATAACTTGCTCAATTCGTTTTCTAAGGTTAGGAATAAAAAGTCGTTTTCAGCAGATCTTCTGTTTTAGACACTGCGAAAATGTCCCCTTGTTGTGGATACTACGTATGATTTCGAGCTCTAATATTCGGGTACCACAAGGTAACTCATGACACCTCTGTCAAACTTGTATAATACTCCATTTTTCACTAGAAAATCTTTCTTTAGTCCTTGCTCGACTAAGGATTTTAGCAACTGGGAGACGCTCATCACTTTCTTTGCGCAGCTGCAATTTGGCTGTAATTCTCCCTGAGAACAAGTAACCATCATGACCGCGGTTCCTACTTAGTGAATCCACATGCTTCATTTGTTGCCCCGATCTGTGAACAATTTCATAGTCAAATTCTTCTAGAAGTAACGCCCATCTCGCCACTTTAGGAATTAAATCCTTCTTGAACATAGTCTTCTGGAAAGCATCGCAATCCGTAACTATCCTGACCTTAGATCCTAAAAGGTAATTCCTGAATTTCTTTAGAGCTTCTAATAAGCTAAAACTTCAAGCTCATAACTAGATAGCTTCTCTTGTTGGAGACTCGTTTTTTACTCATGAAGTAAATGGGGTGTAACTGTCCATCATCTGACTTTTGTAGCAATACAGCGCCGAAACCATGATGCTTGCGTCTGTATGCAATTCTAATGGTTGCTCCTTGTTTAAAAATATGAAGAACCGGATTGTGGATAAAGTTCTTTCAATTTATTAAATGCATCTTTTTGTTCAGGCCCAAATTTGAATTCTGCTCCGTTACGAGAAGATCACTTAATGGTTTCGCTATTTTTGATAATTGGCAATAAATTTCCTAAAATACCCAGTAAGGCCCAAGAAACTTTGAATCTGCTTAAGGTTTTTGGGTTCCGGGAAATTTTGAACAGCCCTGGTTTTTTTCAGTAGAGGGGCGAAAACTGTACATCCTCAATAAATACCCGAAAAAGAGAAATTCTATTTTTCTTTTCAAAAATTGGCATTTCTTAAAATTAATCTCCAAACCATATTCTTTGGCTACTCTCTAAAACGTTGTTTCAACTTTTCTAAGCCTTCTTTCTCATTTCGTGCTGGAATAATAAAATCGTCCGTGTAAGTAACAACAGTGTCATCCCGAATTAAATCTCTAAACACATTATAAATAAATCTTTGAAACACACTAGGGACGTGCACAAACCAAAAGGTGCTTTTAGAAATTCGTACAAGCCTGAATGAGTAATAAAATGCCAAATATTTAGTGCAGTTTTCCTCAACTGGAACATGAAAAAAAACCATTCTTTAAGTCTAATGTCGAAAAAACCTTGCTTTCCAAACGATCTAAAACTTTCTTCTACTTGTGCCATAGGAAAAGAATCCTTAACTATTTTTTTATTTAACTGCCTAAAGTCAACACAAATTCGTGTCTTGCCCGATTTTTCCTACACAAAACAATTGGCGAAGCATATTCTGAACACGACGGCTTTATAATCCCATCCTTTAACCATTCATCTATTTGATTATCAACAATTTTTTGATCAGCAAAAGGAATTCTCCTCGAACGCTGAGAAACTGGAATATCATCTTTTAATATTACTTTCATTTTTAAGTCTGTACTGCGCGGCTTTTCTAACGGTTTATACTCATTAATAAGAGTGGAAACGGTATTGGCGTAATCCATTATCCTTTAATGTGCGATAAATCTATTTTCGCTGTCTCCCTCAATGGCTGCAGAAATAAAAGACAAAAAATTCCTTTCCGGAAGAGATGGAATCATTTTCATATTGCGTAATCATCAAACCTGGTCACAAAATGATCATTTTTAGACAAGAAGGGCGGCAAAATACATTCTGTTATCAAGGTCATAAACCTATTGCTGCTTCAATGCTTCTATTTGTTTTTTGCTTTCGCATAAAGAAAAAATAAACTTAGCCGTTTCCGCTTTAACCATGTGACCAAACGAACTTTTGAGTTCTATACATCCATTTGATAATTTATTCGGAAAAAGGGATTTCTTCACAACTATCAATTCACTTCCAGAATCTATTAAAACATTTTACTTTTTTACCATCAATCAACAGTTTCAATAAATTCTAACTTATTTCTAGCTGCATTATCCGAGTCAATCTCTAACCCAGATACCTTTTTTGGAGACAAACTTTCCTCCTTTCCTAACCGTTTGGGACAATTTCTAGCAAAATGAAATAATTCCCCTTTACTCCCACAACATAGCAAATACGTTCTGGTTTACTACTGCCCTGATTTACAAACTTCCCTGAATCCTTGAAATTGCTCTGAGCTTTTCTAAGATTGTTTTTGGAAAAAATTAAGCTTTTTATTTTCTGGAGGTTTCGATTCGTGTGTTTATTGGTATCAACTAAAGATTTACCCCTGGATGAATAAAATAAATCACATTCTCTCCCCAACTGATTAGGTGGGAACCAACTTTGACCCTCCCGAACACTAATATGTTCTTTTGTTTTGGAATCAAGAGTTTCATATAACTTATCAGATACAATGAGATCACACAATTTCTTAAAGTCATCTACCTTTCTTAACTTGCAATAATAACTGAAAGTTGCAATGAGTCGAGACGCGAACTGAACATGCGTTTCACATGAATGTCTCTGAGGGTTTTTAAAATTGTTCAAACATTCACGCAGGTTCGGCTGAAATTCTTTCAAGATTAGAGTTTTTAATTTATCATAATCCGCGATTTCTTGTTCAGAAACATACGTTAAAACATTATTACATTTATCACCTAACAAATTAATCAACACTTCTGATTTTAACTCCACTGGTACACTTTTAGTAGTAAAAGCTTTCTCAAGTGACTGAAAAAACAAATGCAGAGCTTCCGGTTTCTGAGGTATAGCTATAGTTAGTGTTTTGACGCTTTTAATGATATCTTCAAGACTAGTCTGCGTGTTTCTTCTATCACCTCGATAATGATTGGTGATTTTAAATTTTCTATCTCAATCTGCTTTCTCAATTTGAGCTAATTTAAGACGTTCGATCTCTAACAGATAGTGTTCATTACTTGTTGTAGGCATCCGATCCTCTGCGATCGACTTGACGACGCCACGAACAAATTCAACGTTCGTTTTGAAAGGCATCAGAATTTTCGATAATTTCTTTTAATGTCAGCTTTTTTAGCATTTTCTGGAACAGTCTGTCCAATTTGTTCCGCAATTACTATTAAATCACTTTCTTTAAATTATTTAGGAAACTCATTTTAAAAAACGAAACAAAAGTATCACTATCTTCAAGAAAGAAATAAAGCAAAGTTTTCACAGTACCTTCTCTGAAGTATCCAAATATCCAAATATCCCGGACAGGCCCCCAGATTTTCTGTAGTAGGGGAGTTGAAGATGCTAAAATAACAGTTCCAACTTTGTTTTCCACACCACAGAACATTTAATAAAGATAATCAGAAAAGGTACAAATTAGATTAAATACAAGTGCCGTTTGATACAAAGAGGATTATGATAGCTTTTACCAGTTCTATCACATAACCGATTAGTGTCTACTCGCATTTGCTGATGTATTAAACAGTACAGTCCAATTTACCACCTTCGCGTGGAAAACTACAGTTCCTTATTCTACACCTTCACGTGCAGCTCACCACCTTCGCGTGGGATAGCACAAGAGTCTCTCTGTCTATGTCATACTCATCTTTCACCTCGCTGCTGGCGCATCGGTGAGGCCCTCTGGTGGTTGTGTCGCACTTACGGATACTACATTTATTATATTGAATTACTAATGAATGACTATTATACTAATGAATACCAAGCATTATTGAATTATATATTTATTACAAACTACATAAATGATACATTTTATCAAAAATGAGGTTCACGTTTACTACTTTTTAAATCGTTTGGTTCTTCTCCCCCCAAGAATTTTAATATATGGGTTAAAATTCAAATTTTAAACATGGAGTTTAAGTAAAGACTGCTTTTCAGAATGACAATATTTACCAGATAACTAAAATGATAAATACCCTTGTAGTTTAAGGTAATGAACATAATTACTGCCTTAACGTTAGAAAAGACTCTGTTAGTAGTTCAGTAGACGTTCAGTAAACGTCAAAACTATAGCTTAGAACAAAATTTTTGATTGTATTAATATAATTAATACATAAGTTTTAAATTATTTTAATTTCTTTTCAGATAAAACTAATTTAAACAAACTCAGCTAAAATTGAAGTTTGACGCAATCTCCATTTTCAATGGAAAATTTCCGTTCAGTTAAAGTAAGTATTTTTTTAATAAATATAACATTTATATACCACGTTTGCACTATAATATTTAATTCTAATAATTATTGATTTGTGGCGTTCTGTTATAAACAAAACTGTATCTTTTGTCAGCATCTATTCTAGCACGAAGATCTTTGATAAAAAACACAGCTAACAGTGTGTTTATAAAATCGCGTCTTATTTATGAAAAGCATGCTAAACTTTTGAAGTCTAAATCTCATCTCAGGCAGATGTTTGTTGAATAAAGATGTGAGAAAATATTAACTTATGTCTCGCTACTAAGTAACATAGTTGATTATGAGTAGTTCCTGTGAATGTACAGTGAAGATATTTTGAAACATAAAATTGGTTCATATTATGATAAAATAAGATATAAAACACTCATTAATATTCATGAAATTTCTAAATCTGATTAGTAGGTTTGATTGGTCAGCATGTTTGGATAATCTATTATAATAAAGCAGCTGAAATCTGTTTGCCTTAGAAAGTGTATTTTTGTGAACAATTTAGTGAGGAATACTGGATCGCGTTCATGTTACACCAGGCAGAAGGGTAGTAAAATTTATGCAGCTAAATCAGTCACCAAAGTACAATTCAGTTCTCAAATGTAGACTTTGCGAAGAAGTAATCCTAAAACCAGTTGGGCCTGCCAGCGGCCGAGCGGTAAAGTCGCTGAACACTGGTAGTTCGGTCCGAGGTTCGAATCCCGCGAAGGGGCTGGCTGCATGGGCGTTTTCGTGGTTTTTCCCATGCGTAACGTATATACGAGCCAGTTTCCCTTAAAAAATCCTCCACGAAGGCATCCCTCCCCTTAGACAGATAGCCCGCGAGGCTTTGCCATAATCACGCACACACACACCTAAAATCAGTTACTTTAAAAACTAATAGTTGCCAAACATTAAGAACCGAATGTCAAATTAAACAACTTTTGAGCTAGGAATTAATTATAGTATGAATCTAAAATTCATTTCCGAAATATTACATCAATAAATGATGAGGGGGAAAAGTATAAAATAATTTGTAAATAACTATATTTTAACATTTGTAACAAGACTTAAAGTAATAGCAGCATTTTTCAAAATATTATTTAATTCAGAATTTTTGCAATTCAGATTAAAAGCCTTTAATTCAATACAAAATTTTAATTGTGTCTAAATACATTTTTTATTTCTTCGTAATGGGTAGTTTAAAATGAATACTTTCATAATTTTCTAAATTCATTCTTCTTTAAAATTTTAGAAATAAATTTCTCAAGTGTCACCATTGGCTTGGTTCAAATAGCTGAATGTTGGGACTTTGATCAAGTTTCAATCCCAGGTGAACTAGCTGACTGCATTGATAATTTTTGCGATTTTTCTCATGCGTAATGTGAATATGAGCACGTTTCTCTTAGAAAGTTTTCCATGAAGGTATCCCTTCCCTTAGGTAGGCAACTCTAGTGTAATTTGCCTTTCAAATAACCTAATATTTCAAATATTATACGTTCCATCCATTAGGATTTTAACTGAAATAACTTCTACACAAATATGTAACCTATTTCTTTTTACTTATGAATATAAATTCCAACTAAGTTGAATTAATTAAAGCTATTTGCACACACATTTAGATACATAGATGATATTATAATTTTCAATAATAATTCTACTTTTGAGCAATGCAAAATTTACCCAAATAGTTTAACACTTAATAAAAGGAATACGAATCAAGATACTATTGAATACCTAGACCTGCTAATTATTAAACACAGCAAAATTAAATTATATGATAAAAGAAGGAATTTCCATTTTATACTATTAATCTAATTAATTGGAACTCTAATATCTCTAGAAAAGTAATAGAAAACACGTTTCATAGCCAATAATCAGAATAAAAAATATATGTCTGAAATAGAAGATTTAAAGGAAGAAATAATAAAGCTAATAATGTTCAAGTTGATAACCAAGTACCACCAAAATTTATTAATTATATATTAAAAAGGCAGGCATTAACTTTACTTTATATTTTTGGCTTCTTCACTATGTATGATAACATTACTTTAAACCTAGCTGGAGGGTAATGGAGGATAGGATATCGAAGAGTAAAGGAATTACCTTGTAAATTTTTATTGTAAATAAATTGTAATATGTATATTTAATCAATACTGGATTCTTCCTTTTACTAATAAAGGGCCAAACTCTTTTCAAAAGTCTCAATTATAGCCCAAATTGAGTGAAGATTTTAATCTTCTTCTAATTTTCCATACTTTAGCCAGTATTTAGTAAAGTTTTGATATACCAGTTGAAAATCAAGTTATTAAACTTCATATTTTCTTTCTTAAATATAGCTTTTAATTACTTTTTTTAAGGAATTTTTTGGGAAATTTCTACGTAATTTCTTAGAAATTTCTGGGAATTTTCTTTTTAAAAAAATTTTTTAGGGAATTCATTTCAAATTTTACTTGAAAAAATTAAGGGAATTTTAAAAATTTTAAAGACATTTTAAGACTTTTTAAATTTAAATTTAAATTTTAAATTTACTTTAAAACTTTTTAAAATTTAAAACATTTCAGTTTTACTTAATTATTTTTTAATTATTACTTTATAATTACTTTTTAATTTGCAATTTTCACAAAAAAAATTTTCACTTAACGTTATTATTTGGAATATTTACACAATTTTGCAACAGAACACACATTTCACATTACAATAAAGTTTACATTTATTAATTCACAATAACCACTTAACTCTACTTTACTTCAATTAGTACTTTTTTTATGATATTTGCAAACTTACATCTCTTGATTGGCTCAGCTACTAAACTCCCTACCATAAATAGTTGATAAGTTAAAATTAAAAATTGAATTACATACTTTTAGGATATTTAATTTTTTCTAGATTTATATTATTTAATTTTTTTTAATATTAAAGTTTACAAAATTTTTAATAAAGCAAAGATAGCAGCTTGGCACTCAACTTTACTTACATTTTACATAAGCGCCATCTATATAATTTGCAGAACACATTACTTTGGAAATACTTTTGCAGACCCCAACCCTAATATGGTAGGCAAGTTAGAATTAAAACTTACTATTTTTAAAGTATTTTTTATGTAGTATTTAAGTATTTTCTAGATATGAAATTATATTTTTAAGTATATATTTGTTTTTTATAAATTATGAATTAGTTCTTTTTAGTTTCTTATTGGTCTATATAAATATGTCTAGTTTCTTTTTAGTTTCTTTTTATTGATATGCATATTCGTCTCGGGGAGGTTTCTGTAGACAAGGGTTTCTAAAATGAATTGGTTTCTAAATTAATTTTTCTTGAAAATTTAATTTTTTAAAAGAATTTAATTTAATACTAGACTTTACATTGCTTATTTCTCAAAAAACTTCATAATTGGTATTTTCCTTTTAGACCTTTAATTTTTAATTTCTAAAGATACCACTTTATTGGTATTTCTTTTTGAACATTCTTCGCTATGTATTTACTTTTGGTTTTGACTTTTACCCTTGCCTGCATGAATGACGAAACACGAATTGAATGATTGAAGAGTTAGGTATGGAGGCAACGTCCCCTTGATAAGCCCTGCCTGTCTCCTGCCTGCTCAACAGTCATTCACTTATGCATTTTTTTTTTTAAATTTAGATTAATTTAAATTTGCTAAATTGGTGAATTTATTTGCATGGTTTGGTTTTGCACTTGATTTAGCTGGAGACTATTTGACTTTAAATGATATTGTAGATTAGTTCGAAAATTAAATCTTTTATGTGTTTGCACATTTTTTAATTATTTTAATTTTTTATTAACTCTAAATTTGCTTTTTCACGTATTTTTTCCGTATGTTGGTTAAAATTTGTATTTATATATATATATATATATATATATATATATATATATATAAAAGTTATATAAGATTCTTTTCTACATGGCCTCTGTGATTTTTAAATGTTCATAAGCGGAAGCATTTATTTATCTTTTGATTATTACTTTAGTAAAAAATATAAATTCTGTTACGAAACAGCCTTTACAAATAAAGATTTGAACATCCTTTTAAGCATCCTTTTAATGGTTATTTGTACCTTTTTTTCCCACGGTTTATTCCTCTCAAAACTCTGTTTCGGCTTTGTATTTTTTCAACATAAGAAAAGTGAAATCAGAATCAATATCCTGTTTCTTTTTATGTCGTAATTCTTTTCAACTTTATTCAGTTGTTTTGTCTTCGTATAAGCCGCAAGCCTTTTACGGTAAAACATTGAACAGATAAAAAGGCACTAAATCTCCCTGCTGGAAGCTTTAAGAGACATTCTCAGGTATGAAAAGATAAATAAGAATAGGATTTTCTACTTCTTTGTGCAATCTGAAGATTTCTAAGAAAACCGCAGTATATTATCTAGAAAAACGGTTCGACTACTTGAAACTAAAAAAGAAGAAAAGATTTTTATTTTCGATGTGTATCAGCCTTTAAATTCTTACAAATATGGTGTGAAACCCATTTAATGTGATCTTATTTCTTTTGTAGAGCCTTAGAATTTTATAAATGAAAAGAAAATGCATTTTGTTTCTAACTGAATCAAGCAGAAAGCGCAGCAGCGATATATTTTGAGAGTGCTAATATTTTTAATTCTTTATCGCCCTTAAGGGAAATCGAAACAAGCATATTGAAAGCATATTCTAAAAAGCAAATTTAATTTTTTTTGTATAAAGTAATAGAAAATTTAATAAGAACTTTTCTCGAAATTTCTAAGAAAACATAATTATGTAAACAATTTATTATCTGCATAAAGAACGCAAATAAGACGTGTTTAAAAAATTATGTCATTATCAGATATTATTTTGAAATTTATTTCTCTCCATTCGCACTGAGAAAGTCACCTAGAATCACCAGATTTTGAGCACATGTAGCCCTCATACGATTACGATCATATGCACCTCCAACATTGGAATTTTGAATTGCAATTTTTTTACTTATTTCACATTTTGTGTGAATTTAACGAATTTTATATTTGAGAAGAT